TTTTAAATCAATACTTTTACTTTTAACACTTAAGTACAAAAAATATCAGATATCTTAACTCATGTAATATTCCTTAAGAAGACGTTAACTTTTACCAAAGTAATTTTTGGGTAAGATACTTGTACTTTTACTCAAGCATCACTTTGTGGTACTTTATACAACACTGGACGTGTCTGCAAGAAGAAAACTGAGGACAGACTGAAGAGATCGAGAACATGAAACCAAAGAGCCAGAGGTGAGCTCTGAGGTCAAAGGTCATCAGTATCAGGTGGTTCTGTCCATCACTGTTTGAGTCAAAGTGGACTTGATGAAAAACGACTGAGGACGACAAAATCATAATAAAACTGACTTAAATTTCATGCATACGTCTTGACAAGTCCCGAAGCCTCTGAGAGGTTATTTATGAGATCAAACTGAAGCTTTTTATCAACAAGTCACATGAAGAGAACTAAAACAGACTCTAGCTGCAGTGAAGCCTGGAGCAGGTTCACTTCTGTTCTGTCCAGGGTTGATGCAATCTCAAGACCATCAAGGCTTTCTGGAGCAAAATGTGCTGCTCAGTCAGAAAACATGGTTTCCCATGGAGGTAAATATAACAACTGGAGTGAGTCTGTCGTGATCTACTGTGTTATATATTTAACTTGATATTTAACTACAAGTATTTTAGGTTTCTGTTAGACAAACTGGACCTGTTGAGAAGCTGTTTAGCTAATATCAGGGACAAGTTTCATCCTATAACCAGTTATWTAGTAAATATCGTATAAGTATTTACTGGTAAATACATATTTATATTATTTTATGACAGTAAGAATGTATATATACTGTACTAAGAATAAACTTTATTAGTTGAAGTCAATTTTTCAACTAGCTAAAACGTCTAAGCTAAAGTATTGACTGAATTCAAGTCTGGATTAGATTATTACTTATAAATGARAGGTTTTATATCTCATCTGCTGCTTTACGATTGTTCAATGAATTTGTTTTTGTTTTTGTAGTAGAAAACTTGCGACACAGATCAGTTTGGGCTTGCTGATCATGTTGGCTGTGAAATGCTGGTCTAGTCTACAGAAGAAGTGTGTTAACTTCAAAAAATTCAGCTTTAATAGAAAAATGTTAGAAGTAAATAAATAAAGGGCATTAATAATTTGGGTTTAGCTCCAGTATACTGATACTGCATTTCATTTAACATCTCGGTCAGTGATACATTTCCAAACTCTGCTGTAAAACAAAAAATTAAAAATGCCATAAAAATAAAAAGCATTTTTTCTTCTATTTAATTTGATGACAGCACAACGAATTCTGGGATATTGTCGGCCACGTAGGATACTCGGATGCAGCCTAAGTTTTGGGGTTTTGTCGACCGCATGACAAGAAGAAATCGTACAGATYCTTCACCATATCAAAGTTCACAGTCCTGGATATGGCAGAAATGAAGTCCAGAGAAACGGCACATTTATACTTTGGGGCATCGAGCTGGTCGTTGTGGCTGACCTGAACCAGCAGCTGTCAGGTCCACAAGGAGGAGCTCTGGGAGAAGATGCTGGCGGTCGGGGCAACTCTGCTGGAAGGCCCATGGGGCGAGGCAGTGAAGTGACCGACAAATACGGCCGACGTSGGCTGAGACACAGCCACAGATGCCAACAGTGGCTGGGATAGAMGGGGCTCACTCTAGAGTTATTTAACTCTATGGTCTGAGTGGACCATAGATTTAAATGTCTGGATTTGTTGGGAATCTTCAACAGGACAATGACTCGAAACACAACTAAACACAAAACGACTAAAAACACAACATAACCTGAAGTGAGCGTCCGAGTCCTGTTAAGCATCTGTGAAAAGGAGGCGTGTTATTTTATCAAGTTTCATAGTTGTTAAAACCATAAAAGCTCAAACTCATGAGAAAACATTTTTTCAATACTCAGTTTATAAAACTGAATGGAATAAGACCTCAGGAGGTGGGGGGGGGGGGGGCAAAAAGTTTCACACCACTGTATGAATGTGGATCAATATATTGTTACAGTTAACTATGAACAGATACTGAAACACTCCACTAAACTCAGCTTTATAAGAATAAACCATGAGTGAGCTCTCAGGAACCAGTCATACCAGGTTGTTTATTAAACAAGAACAAAAGAAACAGCAAAGACTGTAAAGATACATGTTTCACAGCTAGTTCTCACAATGTAAAGTCTGATTAAAAAAAAAAGGAAAGAAAAGAAAAAAGGTTTTCATGTGATGTTTTAAGACAAGAATTAAAGGCAACGTCACCACAGCCCCGCTCTCACCGTGTTTCTTTACGTCTCCTTTTTGAAGCTGTTCAAGGACACATTTTTGGAATGTAAAAATACTTTGTCACATTTTGAGACAAACGTAGTGTTTATTTAGTCATTCCCCCAGCAGGACCACAGAAACCAGCAGAACTAAAGAGTGTGACTCATAATGGGTGTTTAAAAAGAAACTACTCCCTCTACTGGACAAATCAAAGATGTTCGGAATTTCTTAATATTTTCTGTCAGAAAACAGTTGAAATTCCTGGACGTACTGTAGAAAACAATAAAACAACAAAAGAACTGGAACTTCTTTTTGCTTCAGTTACATGTTACTCATCAGCAGATCTGAAAACTGGATTTTCAGCAGTTTTAACTAAAAACGTGGAAACATCTAAACTTTGGAGCCAACGTWTGAAATGATCTTGTTTGTGCGACACCATCAGTGTGGTGATGCGGTTCCTGACAGAAAGGTCTTGAAGGAGATGAGCCACGAGGTCCAGATCCTCTTAAGAAGACCTGCAGCAGCAGGTGGGGTACAGCGGCAGCCGTCACCTGTGTGCGCTGGTTCTGGACCCCAGGGACTGCTTCCCCCTTCTGTCCTGTAGGAGCCCAGCCTTCTGCCGGTGCCGACCTTTGGCCTCTGGCTCGGAGTCGCTCAGCTCCAGATCGGGGCAGTAGCCGTCGCTGTCCTGATAAGACCGTCTGTTTTTCACTTTATGCTCCGACGCGGGTGTGGCCCACAGTCTCTCCTTAGCCGGGCTCTTTCTGGACAGTTTTTCAGAGACCCGCAGGTCCTCTGTTGTCCGTACCAAGTTAATAGTRGCCTCTTTGAAGGATTTGCCGAAGTGCTCCATGGCGGACTTCCGCAAATTGTGTTTATCCAAATCCCGCTTTGAAGCATCTCGGTTATTGGGCGTTTGGCACGAACCGTCCTTCTGAGCCTTCTCCAGCACGCCGTTAGGTTTGGGCGCCCGTGTTCGGTCCTGGTCCAGTTTGCCATTACTGTTGGAGGGATGACCGTGGGGGGCGGCTTGCAAAACAAAATGTTTGCCAGTGGGTTTGCCACTCTGCGGCGTGGCGCTCGGGTGGCCCGAGGACGACAGGCGGCCGTTGGAGCGCTCCTCTTTGCTGCCGCGAGCGTGCAGCTGWGGCTTGCCGAGGCCCAGCCCCTCGGCGGCGAGTTCAGAGACGTTACGGCTGCCGTCAGGGCASAGCAGACCACCCACAGGCGTGGAAGACGAATTCCCGTTTCCCAGACTCAGGGCTTTGGGCATCTTCAGTTTTAACGTGATCCTTGGAGGTGGGTGGAACAGCGTGTTCTCCACCGGGAAGGAGGCGGGAAGACCTTCAGGAAAAGAAAAACAATAATAAGAACCTGAAATCCTGGAATCTACCCACCTACATACACTTCAGTTTTTAGTGAAATGATCTAGGGCTGGTTTAAAGGGATCCATGATTAGTTGTAACATTAAACTTTATTTGATAATCATATTTTAACTTTAAAATAAAAACTGTACAAAGACTGTAGGATGTTTAGTTTTTATAATATCTAAAAATATATTTTAACACAGACTGAGACATTTTATTTACACACAAAGCATTCTGGGTAAATGATGATGTGGATAGGTCCTCGGTGTGAGCGAGCTATATCCACCCTGAAGGTTAATCTTGGACAATATCTGATGATCGACTCTTTTAAATGAAACCAGAGAGCGTTGACAGAGAGGAGACGGTAGAAATGAAACTGAAAATGTGGATGGAGGACAACAGAGCTGCTTCATGGAAGAAGTACCTCAGCTTATCCTGTTAGCTTTAGCGCCGACGCTATATTGCCTTATATGTATTAGCTCGGCACTAGCACGGCAAACTAACAAGCTAAACTGAGGTCCTCCATCTATATGTTCAGTTACAGGC